TCCCTCCACCGCTCGTATCCTCTACTGTGTTACGCATGGTATCAATGGTCGGACCAGTAAAGCCTATCCCTATACCCATCGACATGGGAGCAAGGAGGCACGCCGACACACTCAGAATGGCGCAAACATCCGATCCATGGGATGGAGACACAACAGTCATTCAACTGCAGTTGAGAGGGCGATAGCGTAGACGTGAACCCAACACACGTCGATGATGATTAGAAATATCCCCGAGTGAATCCATGCAGCAAGAGTCATGAATGATCCGACTCTAATAATGATAATTGAAGGACTGAGACCTGTACACCTACCCCAGTATAGATTAAACTTAGTACCTTCCACCAAGTACACCCTACTTCGAAGAGGAGAGGTATGAAGGATACCACCACTCCAGCAGCATTAGCATATCTGACCCAAGGGCACAATAGGTCTCATTGACAGCGAGATTGATTCCCATGTATATTGGAATTACTCCACCTTGGACATATGGCATAGCGGCCCCAGATAGAGGAATCTAAGATAGTACTCCCACAGGTAAGTTGTATACTAAATCAACAAGAGCATTCGGATATTACGAAACCAATATGATAAGACACGTAGATGATTAGAATGGTGGTAGTAGTGATGACGATGACTAAAGGGTAGATAAAGGACAGGTAAAGGGTAGATAAAGGACAGGTAAAGGACAAGTAAAGGACAGGTAAAGGACAGGTAAACTATAGATATTATTCATTATTAGAACGATGAAATATCTTCTGTATTTCCTCCAAGCTCTTTCCCTTTGTTTCTGGTATCAAGAACCATACGAATGTCGCAAGAGCAACTCCAACAGCCGCGAAGAACCAGAAAACAGTCTGTAAGGACGTGCCATCTACCGCGGGGGTTAGCAGCTCAATTACGATGAAAGCAGACAACCAGTTGGCTGTCGTTGCCATGCTAGATGCCATACCGCGAATCTCATCGGGAAAGAGCTCAGCAGAGAGCATCCATCGTATCGGGCCCACGCCCGTAGCCACTGCTACTTGGACAATATAGCAGGCTAATACAGGCAACCATGCTAGGTCCCCAGCTGTGCCGTCACGGTCCAAATAGAAGAATAACCCCAAGAGGAACTGGCCTACAGCCATACCAAGACTGCTCCATAAGAGAAGCGGTCTCCGGCCGAGACGATCCACCAAAAAGCAAGCTGCGAGATTGGACACTGCTGTTACGAGCTGTACCGTGAGAGCCATCACATTAGCGTTGTCAAGTCCGGCGAGTTGAAAGAAACTAGTCTGATAGAATGCGAGGGCATTAAGACCAATGAACTGAGTGAACGAGTGTATA